AAAACCGAAAAGTTCCCGTTTCCCCCCCGAATCCGGGTCCGAGGGGTGTCCTATATTTGGGGTACCCCCTTTTTTCCCCTTTGGGGTCCCTACCCCCCTTAAGGGGGGCGGGGGCGGTCCCCTTTTGGAGGACGCCCACCCCCCCCGTGAGGTTTTTCGGGAGGGGGAGCAGCACCCCCCCAAGGGCGTTAAGCCCCCGGGGGGGTGGCGGGTGCCAAAGGGCCGCCCCGACCGGGGAAAGGGGGTTCGCCCCCGGGAGGCGCCCCGGGGGGTAAACGGGAAGGGGCCCGGGGCCCCCTTCCCCTTCCGCTTCGGGCCCTCCCGTTGCCCGGGCCCCAAGCCACCCTTCTTGGGAAGCCCCCGGTTCTGGAACCCAGCCCCCAAGGGTTTTTTCGGAGGAGAGGGGCATTTCCCCTAAAAAAAAAGGGGGGGGAGCCCCCCCCTCAAAAGCAGCTGGGAAGAATTAAATTCCTTCCCCCCCCCCCCCCCCCCCCGGCCATCTCTTTGCCGTCTCTCGTCTATCTCTCGCCCCGCGCAAAGCGGCGGACGTGCAGCTCGACCGCGCCAGGAAAGACACCGCGGGCCATCTCCACCTCGGACGGCCTCCAACCGCCGCCGCCGCCGGCCCCGCCGCCGCCGGCCGCGCCCTGTCCGGGCGAGTAGCGGACCGTCACGTCGTACACGGCGTCGAGCGCGCCGCCAAAGGCCCGCACGGTCTCGACGAAGCCCGCCTGGGCGGGGCGGGGTGAGGTGGGGGCTTTAGGGGGCCAGTCGGCAGGTGAGGCGAGGCGAGGCCGAAGCTGTCCAGGTGTTCGGCGCAAGGGGTGGGCTATCCACCGTCCCAATTCAGCCACGGCGTTGAAACGCCAGGCGTGGGTGGGCATGTGTGTGTGTGTGTGTGTGTGTGTGTGTGTGTGTGTGTGTGTGTGTGTGTGTGTGTGTGTGTGTGTGTGTGTGTGTGTGTGTGTCTGCGTGCGCGCGTGCGTGCGTGCGCGCGCGCGCGCGTCGCGTGCGCGCGTGCGTGCGTGTGTGTGTGTGTGTGTGGTGTGGTGTGGTGTGGTGTGCGTGTGCGTGTCTGTGCCTGTGTATGTGTCTGTGTCCGTGGCGTGCTCGCAGCCCGCCTCGCGAGGCAGGAGCAGGTGGTCAAAGGGCGCCACGCCGCGCTTGGCCGCCCACTCGCGCGACTTTTCGAGGTTCGAGGCCGAGAGGTCCGTCCCCTCGGGGAAGAGCAGGAACGCGGTCGGCTCGCGCAGGCCGTGCGCGCAGTACGACAGCACGGAGCGCAGCGTGCCGAGGTCTGCGTCGCGGTCGCGCCGCGAGAGAAAGACGAAGAGGAAGGCCTGCATCGCCCAGCCAAAGAGCGGCGCGCGGCGGAGCGAGTCCTTGAGCGCAATCTTGAGCCGCTCGGCCACGCCAAAGCGCGCGGCGAGCACCCAGACGTACATCCAGTCGACGCGGCTGTTGTGGTTGCACACGAGGAGGACGGTGCGGTCCGAGGCGGGAGGTGCGTCGCCGGTGACGCGCACCGCGCTCTCAGCCTCGAGAAGGCTCGCGGCAAGCGTGAACCAAGCCCAGGCGACAAAGCAGACGGCGGCGCGGTACGCGCGCCGCAGCGGCGCGAGAGGGAGCGGCAACAGCAGCAGCGCGCAGGGGAGGATCGTGTGCACCGTTCCCAGCAGCGCGGCCACGACGAGGACGGGGAAGAAGCAGCGCGAGCGGAGCTGCGGCATGGCGGAACTCGTTTTTCTGTTCGTTATGTTTTTCTCTACAGCTGTACAGCGCTGTACACTGTACATCCTGTACACCCTCCCTCAGGCCCAAACCAGCCTCAGACTCGGCTCAGAGCCAAAAATTCGACGATTTCCACGCAGTTTTCCCGGGAAAATAGAGAGGAAAAGAGAGGGTGTTGTAGAGAAAAAAGGAAAGGAAAACAGACGGGGTGCGAGAGGCAAACCGGGTTGAGCCCAACCGGGACCGCTCCGGGACGCACGCCGGGGAAGCACCATCAAGCTGTTGCACGGCCCCGGCATAGCCTTCCCAGGGATACCCATCACTGAACCGCCAATAATACGGGTAACGCCAGAGTGGCGCCCTCCCCCATGCCCTCGGGCACTTGCCTGCGACCTCGCGCACTAGCCCAAGACTGGCCCCGAAAGATCTCACTTCATACAGTCTTGCGGCATATCTCGGCACCGCCTTCCCCGGAATCTGAGCGTGCGGGAATCTTAGCGTGAGGGAATCTGAGCGTGAGGGAACCTGGCCAGTCCCGCGTACTGCGGCGTGCGCGAACGTGCGCGAACGTGCGCGAGCGTGAGCGTGCGTGCGCGGGCGTACTCGGGCGTGCGCGCACGTGCGCGCACGTGCGCGCACGTGCGCGGGCGTAGTGCCGCGTGCGCGCACGTGCGCGGGCGTGCCCGCGCGTTCGCGGCGTGCGCGGGCGTGCGCGCCCGTCCGCGGCGTGCGCGGGCGTGCGCGCGCGTGCGCGGCGTGCGCGGGCGTGCGCGCGCGTGCGCGGCGTGCGCGGGCGTGCGCGCGCGTGCGCGGCATGCGCGGCCAGGGCGCAGGCAAGTGCCTGAGGGTATGGGGGTGGGCGCCACCCTGGGGCTACCCATAGCATCGTCGGCTCAGTGATGGGTATCCCAGGCTTAGCTAGACTGAGAGATATTGTGCATATGGTCTCTACAATATACTCACTGACACTCCACCTCCCAGAGCTCGTCCCGGTCCGTCACGGCCATCCTCGTCCTCCGGCGGGCCCCCGGCCGCGGCGCGGTGCGGCGGCGTCACAAATCCGACCACAGAGCACCGGGACGCGGTCGGGCGATCTGAGGCTCAACTAGGCGTATGCATTGTCCATCCAGGGCTATCACCTGGACCCATCAACAGGCGGGGGGTGTTGTTCACACCTGGGCAAGCATTCATGCAGCACAGTACTACTCCTGGCAACCGACACCGACACACCATGCTGGGCGAGGCGACACCGCGATCAACACTCATGCTTTCCGCGGCGGCGCCACTCATGCTTTGGCTCCTCCTCCTATTCGCCGCCACCGTCTGCGTTGTGGAGTCGCGCCCGCGCTGGCGCTCGGCACGAGGTGCTCACGGCACGCGGGCATCGCTGCTGGTAGGCTATCAGGTGCAGAGGCCGCCGAGCGCCGCGGATTGGCGTCCGTCCGTCGCGCGATCGCGACTCCGCGTCCTCTAGGTGTGCACTGTGGCCGGGAACCTCTACCTCGCTGTGGCAGGCTGCGCCTGGTTCGGCGCCGAGGCGAGCGTCCCACGCCAGAAGCCCTCGCAGCACCGCCGTGGACACACTTTGCTTCAGCCTCTACCCTTCGCCGACCCTAGGTGCCTGCGACGGCCGCGGACCGCCTCTACTCCGACCTGCCGTACGTGCGCAAGCATGTGCTCGCTCCGCTCGTGGCGCACCTCGCCTCGGACCTCCTCCTCTACCTCTCCCTGCCCGAGCTGCGGCAGCCCGCCCTCATCGCGCACCACCTCCTCACCGGCGCCCTCGCCCACCTCGCCACCCACCCGGTGCCGCACCCGCACCCGCACCCTCTTCTCCGCACGCCGCGTCTACACACGCGCCGGCCTGGTCGGAGCAGGTGCCATACACGCACCACTACATCCTCTTCTTCGCCGGCGCCGCCGAGCTCTCCAACCTCCCGCTCGGGTGGATCGAGCTCTGCAAGTGCGACCTTGGCTTAGAGGCTTGCGGTCAGGGCCATGCGCACCCTCCACCCCTTCTCGCTCACTCTGCGCTAGGCTCCTCCCCCCTGCCCGCGCGGCGTGCCCAGGCGGCTACTCTGCCGCGAGGGCCGTCTTCGCGGCGAGCTTCGTCACTCTCCGCCTGCTGCTCTGGCCGGCGGTGACGGTCCGCTTCTGGAGCGACTCGCTCCTCGCCCTCCGCGGCGACGTCGCCTGCGCCTCGCGCGGTGCCTGCTCCCCTCCGACCTTCCCTCCTCCCTCCCTCCCTCCTCGCTCCCTCCCTCCTCGCTTCCTCCCTCCACCCTCCACCCTCCTCCCTCCACCCTCCTCCCTCCACCCTCCTCCCTCCTCGCTCCGCCCCCTCTATGGGCGCCAGCCTCTCCCCCTCCGACCTTCGCTCCTCCCTCCCCCCATGACAGCTCTCGCAGCCTGCTAGGCGCCACCCTCTTCTACCTCGCCTCCAACGCCGTCCTCACCGCGATGCAGCTCGGCTGGGGCGTGATCATCTGCAGGTGCCGAGATGCAGCCGAGATGCAGCCGAGATGCAGCCGAGATGCAGCCGAGATGCAGCCGAGATGCAGCCGAGATGCAGCCGAGATGCAGCCGAGACACATCCGAGATGTCTGCAGGCGCATCGCCGGCGCCGCCTCCGCCGCCGCCTCCGCCGCCCCGTCGCTCGAGCACCGCACGGCGACGCTGCGCGCGCTCGAGGGGTCGCGCATTTCCTCGAGCCTTCCGGGATGCTTCTCGGAGCTTTCCCGCAGGCGCAGCTGCGCAAGCTCGAGGCGTCTCGCCCCCGCCTCGTCTTCGCCTACCGCGCCTCGTGCTTTGCCTACTCGGCCACGGGCGCGGCGCTCTAGCCTGTCCACATTGGCAGCGTCGATGGGGGCTTTGACACATGCTATCGGTTGTGGTGCTGGACGGCGGAGTCCACGTCCCCCCCGCCCGCCAGCCTGGGGACTGAGCACCCGAGAGGACCTCAACCTTGTTCGTAGCCCGCGCATCGTCTCTCCCACGCCCCCGCACGCCTCCTCCAGGCGCGGTCTACGCCGCTTGCCTGCCCCGCCTGCCCACCGCTTTCCGCTCCACCGTCCTGTGCGGCGGCGGCTGGTTCGCGGCGGCGCTGCTGCTGCAGGGAGGCCTCTCTTTCATGAACGATGCCGTCGCCACGCTCGGCAGGCGAACCCTGCCGCCCCCTCTCGCCATTGGCGGCGCAGCTGCGAACCCACCCTCCACCCTCCACCCTCCCCCTCCCCCCTCCACCCTCCACCCACACCCACACCCTCACCCTCACCCTCACCCTCCCACCCTCCACCCTCACCCCAACACCTGGAGCTGCGAGCAGGCCCGTCCCGTTCAGCCGACGTCTGTGGCAGACGCTCGACCGGCTGCTGGCGTGGACGCTCACCGCCAACGCCGCCGCCACCGCCCGCGTGTGGGCGGCGTCTGCAGAGAGCACCGCGCACCCGGCGTTGGTGAGGGAGAAGGGGCGAGGCGGATCCCATTGAGGGCGCACTGCGGGCTCCACTCCCCCCCCCCCCCCTCCTCCCTCGTTTGCGGCAGGCTCCGGCGATGGTGCTCTCCTTCCTCACCTTCATCCCCTCGCGGCTGTGCGAGGTGTGGGGCCGGATGGTGCCTTTCCTCGCTTGGCATTCGGCGTGGCACTACGTCCCGAACGCAATCGCCCTGGCCTGGATCCTACAGACGGCTGCCGGAGGGCCGGGCGCAGGAGGAGCCGAGGCGGAATAATAGACAAGAGTGTTAGACCCTGGCGATTTAAAAAAGCCGCGGGTCCGCCCGCTCGCCGATACTGATCTACTGAAAGAGTCGGCTTTTTACCCTCTGGCCTGCATAATGGGCCAAAATGGGAAGCTGGGTCCGCTACACATCCGCCCCGCTGCCGCTACAGAGTACAGTCTGAATCCGTACAGAGTGGAGTCAGTGCGCTCTACACCCCAACTGCCTGCCAGTGTTTGCTGTTTTGGCACGGGTATTGTGTGCGCACTTTTGTTTGGGGGTAGAACGCGGCATCTGAAGCTGGAGCGAGAATTTATCGCACACAACACAACACACAACAACACAGTCACAGAGCACACAGCACAAGTTGCCCTAGTTCAACTTGAAGTTGAACTTCAAGTTCTTCAAAGTGTTCTTCAACTCGCTCGATGTACGATGAACTTAAGGGTGCCCCTAGGGGCTAGGGTTCTGAGGGCCGGATTTTTTTAAGACCTTTTAAGAAATGAGGAGATTTGGGGGCTGAAATTGCCATTTAAGAGATTGCAGGCACGGGGGGTCCCTCATTTAAGACCGTTTAAGAAAATCGGCCTCACCGGCCATGCGTCGCTGGGTTCCGCGCCGTTTTCTCCAATACTGCCGTTATTAGGCACAAAACCGCCTCTGAAGACACATCTGTAAGCCATACTCGCATAGGGGGCGCGTGCTAGCTGACTGTAGCCAGCTTCCCGGCCTCCGGCGTCTACCGGGAGCCTCCCGGACCATCGACCTCGGGAGCTCTCCCGCACCGTTTAAGCGTTTAAGACCGGTCACTGAATCGGCGGCCCAGCAGCTCTTAAAACCTGCCATGGCAGGTTTTAAGCCGTTTAAGCCGCAGGCGCCCCAGGGCCCACCCTTTTAAGCTACCCTAAGACGATGAAGGATGATTCAAACGACAAACCCCTCCGGCTGGGCCGGGAGGGGTGGCTCCCGCGGCGCGCTTTCGGTCCCTCGTCCCTTTCTCGATGTTGTTTTTGTTGTGAACGTGGTGCGGTCCGATCGCGATGCCGCGCTAAGTCCACCGGGATGACTGTTGACTGATATGCATATGACGGATGCCGGGAAGACGCACACCGACCGACCTCCATCCACACCGACCGGGGGGTGTCTCTTTGCTTGCTAAAAAAGGCACTAAGGGGGTAGTTTTCACGGGGATGTCGACAATTATTGGATTCATTTCGTCGGCATCGTCGCTGTAACATTTGCGGCCCTGCATTCGCTGCCGTGCGTCCCACGGCACCAAGACCGAGGGACCGGGGCCTGCGGGCGGCGCGGCGAGCAACACGATGATTGACGAGAGAACGGCGCCGCATCGGTCCACGAACTCACGCAGGCTCGTCGGAGCGCTCGTCGGCTGCGGCCTCTTGATTGGGTTGGTGCCGCTGGCCCACCACCCAGGCGCAAATCACGTCGACTGGGACGCATGGTGGACAAAATTCTTCTGTGGTGGTGAAGCGTGCCCCGAGACGGCGACGGAGGTCATCCCTGGTACCAAGGAGAAGTTTTCTGGCCTGTTTGCGTTGCTGGAATCGAGAGAGGAGAGTGCACCCCCACACTCACGCTCACCGCGCCCGCCAAATCGCCGCCCTTGGCAACACCTGCATGTGCATGTAAGGCACCTCCGCCACCCTTCCGCAGGCCCCGATGGACCCGGTGTTTGAGCTGTACCCGGATCAGAATTCCAAACAATGTGTGCCGTGCAACGACCGCGCAGAGGGATCCACAAATGCCGCGCCAATTGCGCTCTCCGACTTCTATGAGACCGAGGCGTATCAGAAGGCGTCAACCGCTCAATGGACGCCACCGGCCGGCTGCGAAAAGGCACCTACTGTAGTCGGGTCTTCACCCTCGCAACCTCTTTGCCCCCAAGCCGCCTCCCCTCCCCACAGGCCGCCTACAAGGGCGGGGCGGCGGTTCCCCTGCCGGCAGAGTTCCTCAGCGAGGTTGAGACGATGATGGCGGAGCATGAGGTGCCGGGGCTGAGCCTCTCGGTGATTCACAACTACGAGGTGGTTGAGACGGCGCAGCTGGGCGTGCTCGTCAAGGGGGGGGAGAAGAAGGTTCAGAAGCCGTCGCGCTCAGAGTTGTTGCAAGGGGGTGCGAGCCGCTAACCGTGAATCGTTCCTCACGCTGTGGGCCTGAATAGGCGTGCTCTCTCAGCAAGCCTCCGACGGACATCGCGCTGCTCCAGTTCGTGCAGCAGGGAGCGCTCAGCCTCGACGAGCCGGCGAACGAGGGGCTCAAGTCTTGGCAGATCCCGGACGGTCCCTACACCAAGGGCGGCGCGATCCCAGTGCGCCGACTGCTCACCCACTCGGCTGGGCTGAGCGCGGGCTTCTACCCTGGCTATCTCCGCGGTAGCCCCATCCCACCGTCGACCACGTCGGTACTGGAGGGCGGCACGGCCCCCGATGGCACAGTCATCACCTCGGAGGCGGTGCGGCCCATCCTGGAGATGGGCAAGCAGTGGTGCTACAGCGGGGGCGACGCGCGTTGATCATGAGGGCCAACCCTCGGCTGCATCCCGGCATGACCTCGTGTCTCTGGGGCGTAGGTTCGCTCATGGTTGTGAAGGAGCTGCTGGAGGACCTCGATCCGCTCGCCAAGGAGGACTTTGCCGCCTTCATGGCCAAGAAGGTGCTCGGACCGCTCGGAATGAACCGCAGCACGTACGTCGCGCCGTACCCCGAGGCCGACCTCGTCAACACGGCCATGGGCCATCCGTGGGATCCGCGGGGCTCGTTCAAGGAGTACCCCTCCCAGTCGGTGGCGGGGCTGTGGACGACGGCCGAGGACCTCGCCAAGGGCATGATCGTGATGCAGAAGCTCCTCGCGGGCGACCCGAGCGCGCCGCCGGTGCTCAGCCCCGACCTCGCCAAGGAGATGTTTACGCCTCAGGAGACGGGCACCGACCCGTGCGTCGACAAGATTCCACACTTCCACGCCAAGCAGGGGCTCGGCTACCTCCTCGAGGGCGGGAATTGTGGCGTGGAGCGCTTCTGGCACTGGGGCGACAACCCGGGCTACAAGGCGCTGCAAGTGGGTACCCTCGAGGGCGGGTGTCACTCCAGCTCCAATGCAGAGAGTCGCCGACGCGACGCAGGTCACGGCGGACCCAACCCAGCCCCGCGCCAACTACAGCTCCCCCCCGGCATCGCACCCACAAGGGCCGCCCCTCGCGCTTTGGCCGCGCTTTGCCTTTCAAGGCCGACCCGACGCAAGTCCCCAGGGCTCTCGGGCTGGCCGGTCTGTTTTGAAGGCGCCGCTTGGGCAGGCCAAACGGCGCCGCGACCCGAACGGCCGCTGCGACGTCGTGCCTGAGGAGGAGGAGGCTGGCGAGGGCGACGAGCTGGACCTCCAGTCCTTCCTGGAGGGAGTTTCGGAAGACGACCCGGAACTCCTCCGCATCATGCCCTCTTTCACCATGCCCTCTTTCGGCGCGCTGCGCACGGTCGAAGATGCCGACCGCGCCCGAGCTGCGGCCTCTTCTGACAGCGCGCTCGATCTGCTCTGACCTGTGCGCGAGCCAAGCGAAGCTAGCACGTGGGCGCTGCTTGCACGGGGCGTCGCCCGCCGCGCCCCCTCCGCGCCCCGCCCCCGGTCATCGACGCCGTGGGGGCAGCCTCATGCCCCACCGCCGCATCTCCCCTTTCCCGTTCGCTCTTCTTCTCCTCCCTGTCTGGTCAGCACTAAGCGGGTCCGCACACAGCCGAGACGCCGGAGTGCGCTGTGCGGGGTCGAGCGGGGATCGCTCTGCCGTGCGGAGATCCGCGCCGCATGTGCAGGCGCAGCTCCAGGGGCGCAGCATGAGCATCTCGCCCCCACACCCCAGCACCTGCTCTTGCGTGCGTACGGCTGTAGTGCGTCTCTCATGAACAATAAAGTAACTACAACTGGACAAAAAAAGAAGAGATATGTGCGGGGTCGGCTGATGTACGCAGTGCTCAAACTTTACCGGTATGGGAGTTTTTGGCTAATCAAACCCAGGGCCTGCACTAATCAAAAAGTGGTACGGGATACCAGTTGCCTCACGGAAATCAAAGCGAGTCGGAGTGCCTTCTTGGTGGCAAAATCGGCAAAATCGGCCCAAAATACCGGGGTATTTTGCGGGTAGCCTGCCGACGCCGGCGACGCGCCACGCCGGCGCCCGTGTGCCTCGCCGCCGCGTCCGGCGACGGCATCGATGCTGTCTGCCCGAGCGTGACTCGCAACTCCACGATTTGCGGTTCACCGACAAATTTGGCTGCCCCCCTCAAAGTTGACTTTTGAGAGGAGACTCCTAAAACGTTTAAAGATACATATATTCTACTTTTTCTGGTGCGCTCACTCTTTTACACACATGTGCTTTCACGCTCAGGTCGATACTCCAAATAATATGCTCTAGACCCTCAATCCGAGTCTGACCCGCTATCGCTACCGCTCTCGCCGTCGCGCCGCCGCCGCCGCTCCTTCTTCTCCCGCTTGCGCTGCTTCTTCTCCTTCTTCTCTCGCTTCCGCTTCTCCTTGCGCCCGCCGCCCTCGCCGCCGCCCTCGCCGCCGCCCTCTCGCCCCGCGAGCTCCTTGCGGTACATCTTGAGGAGCTGCCGCTGCTGCTTCTCGCTCAGCGTCGCGAGGAGCTCCGGGTCGAGCTCGCTCAGCCCCGGCTCACCGCTCCCCGCCTGCAAGGCCGCTGCCTCCTCCATGTCGCCCAGCACGTACTGCTGGTTCGCGTCCTGGGCGCTCACGCCCGCGCCGAGCCCGCCCGCGCCGCGGTCGCCCTTGATCTCCCAGCGCAGCTCGGCGCCCGAGGCCTCCGAGCCGTGCAGCCGCCCCACCGGGTCGAGCCGCGCCCTCGCGTCCACCTCGCCCGCCGTCAGCTCGTTGCGCTTCGGGCACTCGCGGTCGCCGACCGAGTGGCCCCACTGGCCGCACGCGCGGCACTGCACGTTGTTGAGCTTGACGCCAAACGGCTGGTGCTGGACCTCGTTGACGAGCTCATGCACGCCCGCGCGCGGCGCGTCCTTGAGGAGCGGGAAGCGCTCGGCCTCCTTGTCGGCGGGCCTTTCCACCTTTTTGCGCTGCGACGCCTCTGCCAGCCCGGGAGGCTTCTGGTACATGAAGTCCATCGACGCGGGCGGCTCCTTGTTCACCTCGCCGCGCCGCGCCGCCATGAGCGAGCGGGCGTGGCGGCGCGACTCCTCCATCGCATGCTCCCGCGCGAGCTCATTCTTCTTCTCCGCCTCGAGCCGCTTCTTCTCCTCCGCCTTCCAGAGCTTCGCCACGTTCTGCGGCGCGCTCGGGTGGAAGCTCTTCTTCCCGAGGAAGTTGAGCGACATGACGCCCCCCACAGCAAATCGGTTTTTGCCCTTAAATAGTGCGATTTCCCACCACTGCCAAGCGAAAAATAGGCCATCAAAAATCGCCAAAAATCGCACTAATCTCGACGCGCGTTTAGGTTAAGGGCGCGTCGAGATCCAAAACTCGACGCGGCCAGCTCCAAGCCCGAATCTGGCCCAGGGCCCAAAACCTACCACCAAGGCGTCGGCTTTCGCCGCTTCCGTTTCCTTGAGCACCAGGATGACAGAACTGGCCGTTGTCAGACTAAGGACTATTGTGCGCCTCGGCGAGGCGCACAATAGTCCCCGTCAGCGCCACGCGCGAGAGCATGTGTCCAATGTGCAACGCGGCGGCGCGATCAGTCACGGGACGACCGACGGAAGCCGGATAAGCCACAAAACTCGCTCTCGCAGAGCAGGTTTTCACCGATTTGCTGTGGGCGTTGGCTGAAAATAGTGCTGAAAACCGACCAAGTTAAGCGAAAATTGGTCCAACGAAAACGGCACTAGTTAAGGGCAAAAACCGATTTGCTGTGGGGGGCGTGAGCGCGCGGCCTAAAACAGCGGAAACAAAGTAAATTCCCTCGCGGCACGCCGCCACCACATAGAGCAGGCCGGCTGCGGCTCCTGATGTACCTCCGCTTTTGGGTGGCGGTCGCGCGCTGCCGACGGCGCTCGCCGGCGCTACGGCGCTCGCGGCGCGCTCGTGGCGTTCAGGGCGGCTTGCACACGCACACGCACACGCACACACACACACACACACACACACACACACACACACACACACACACACACACACACACACACACACACACACATGCACAGACACACAGCCCCTTCCCCTCCCCCCTCAAGGGCGAGGACACGCACAGGCCGCACCTCTAGTGAGGCCCGCATAGTATGTGGGAGACTCGTGCCGCCGCCCCTGCCACCCCTGTGTCAGTGTGCCTGTGGTAGGAGAGACTGCCAGCGACAAGCTGGAGGCAGGTCGCTAGACTGAGATGAGACCGCCAGTGGATGTGGGAGTCCACCGCGCACCGCGCTGCGAGCCTGTCGTGTCCCTTGTCAGGAGCAGGAGAGCCCCACCTGTCCCCCTGATCGTTCTTCCAAAATCCTGCTCGTGCAGGTGGGGACCCTGTCCTCGTCCCATCCCTCGTTTGGCGTGTCTGTTTTCTTTTCTTTTTTACCACACAGGACCGGCGCGCGGCCTGGAAGGGAGAATTATCCCATCCTGACAGTGTGCCGCGCTTTTCTCTTTTTTGGTCCGGCCTCTCTCGATGACCGACGACGACGTCGTGGAGGTCCGCGTGCGGGAGAAGATCCCGCTCCGGTGCTGCGTGCTTGTTCGCCGCATGCAGCAGCCTTGCCGCGGCCCCGGCTGCAGCCACGCGGCGGCATTCTGCTACATGGCGCTCGACAGCTGCGCCGCCGGGCCGCCGCGGCGAGTCCGCTGCCCGATCTGCGAGAAGGAGTTCGACCGCGACGCTGTTGCGCTCGACGTGCCGCTGACCATGCTCCTCATGAAGCACCCGTCCGCCTCGCACGCCTATGCCGCCCGGAGTCGGGACGGTGAGTGGCGGTACAAGGCGGCGGGCGGTGCGCCGGCCGCCGTGGACCTCGACCGCGGCAGTGGCAGCCGGCGCCGGCGCGGCGCGTCGGACAGCGGCGACGAGTCACGGCAGCGCAGGCGGGAGGGCGAGCGTCAGTGCAGGGGGGAGGAGGGCGGGCGGGAGGGCGGGCGGGAGGCCAAGCGGGAGGGCCGCTCGGACCGAGGCTCGACCACGGGGCCAGCGGCGCCGCGCCGGCCCATGCTGCCGAGGAGCTTGGCTCCGAGAGAGCGGCCGCCTGCGCCGGGGGCGCGCCTGCCCGTCAAGCTGACGCCGGTGCAGAAGGCGGAGGGCCGTGCCGCGAGGAAGCTGGCGGCGCAGCGGGCTCGCTTCCTTGAGGCAGCGCGGGCGGAGCTCATTCGGCGAGCGCTGCACGAGGAGCCGCAACCCGGCGGGTCGGCGGAGGGTTGGTCGGTGGGATGAGCCATGATGCGCGCGTGCAAACACACCTCTAAAAAAATTGCTTAGCGCGAAAAACAGGCACACCCCAAAGCCCAATCTCCCCCCCTTCCTCTCTCTAGACACATATATCCCCCCTTTTAGAGCGGCCAGGATCCACACCCCCCTGCCCTGCCGGCTGCGGGATCGCGTACTAAGTAGGCTCCACACTAGCGTCGCTGGGGGTTCCCTGCCCTAGTTGGGAAGCTGGCCGTTTATCTCCGAGGGTTAGCTCCGCGCTCCAGGTTTCCCCTAGCAGCAGAACGCCCCCTCTACTCGGAGCTAGTAAACACTCGACACGGACTCAACGCCCACCCACACCCGGCGCCTCACCACTCCGGACCCCTCTTCGTGGTCTCCCAACTTTCACTCCGGGGCGTCTTCCCCCACCTCTCGGTCCTTCCTTCTGGTCGCATCCCGATAGTTGTGCGACGGGCGCGGGGCCCGAAAGAAAGAAAAGAAAGAAAACGGACAACCCAATGGAGGGATGGGAGGACGGCACGCCGCCACCACACAGGGATTTTAAGGAGAGGTGTGTGATGCGCTAGCCGTCGCCCACCCTAGGGAGTCTGCCTCTTCCTATCTCTCTTCGCAGTCTCTTCGCCGCTTCTCGCTGCAACCTTCATGCCACCTCGCGGTCGTCCCACTCTCGTCGTTCTCTCCCTTGTCATTTCCTCCTCTGTCGCGTCGTTCTCTTCTGCCTCGTCCTGCGACGCCGCCGTCTGCCGGTCCCTTGTTCTCGCGGCTTCTTTCGCGGGGCCCGACCTCCCCTCCGAGGAATTTTTTCTTTTCTTTTTAGGTGTGCCGGTGATAGTACTAGCACGCGCCAGTTCGCACCTGTGTCGAGCCTGTGTGCTAAAAAGAAAGAAAGAAAACAGACAACCCAAGGGAGGGATGGGAGGACGGCACGCCGCCACCACACAGGGATTTTAAGGAGAGGAGTGTGATGCGCTAGCCGTCGCCCACCCTAGGGAGTCTGCCTCTTCCTATCTCTTTTCGCAGTCTCTCGCCGATTCTCGCTGCAACCTGAGCCTGTGTGCTAAATAAATAAATAAATACAACGTACACGCCAAACGAGGGGTGGGAGAAGGACAGGGTCCCCACCTGCACGAGCAGGATCTTGTAAGGACGATCAGGGACACAGGGGAACGGGAGCGGGGAGCGCATCGCGACACGGAGGGGGGCTGGGCAGGGTTCACCCTCACGACAGGGTCCCAGGGATTCCTCTCTCGTATAGGACAGGTTGCACCCGGCGGCACGGGGGCAAGCGCGGGCCTCCTACTGGTTGCGCTCTCCTAGTTCTCCTGCTCCTGACAAGGGACAGCGACAGGCTCGCAGCACGGTGGACTCCCTATCCACTGGCGATCTCTCTCGACTAGCGACCTTCCTCCGACTTCTCACCGGCAGTCTCTTCTACCACAGGCAGACTGACACGTGGGTGGCAGTGGCGGTGATAGGAGTCTCCCACTCTGTGGGCCTCGCTAGAAGTGCGACCCCTGCGCGTGTCCTCGCCCTTGAAGGGGAAGGGGCTGTGTGTCTGTGCATGTGTACAACATGTGTGTGTGTGTGTGTGTGTGTGTGTGTGTGTGTGTGTGCTCGCTCGCTCGCTCTCGCGCGCCGCTTGCGCGATCGCGCGCGCGCGCTGCGCGAGCCGCCCTGCCCGCTGCGCTGCTAGGGTTGCGCTGCGGGAAGGGCTCGGCGGCCGTTCCTAGAGCTCCTCGTCGCTCCCCCCGTATAGCGAGGGCTCGTTGGACTCGAGGAGTGGGCCGCCGTCGTAGGGGGAGCGGGCGGCTCCGCGGGCGACGCTCGCCCAGTCCTTCTTGTTGCTCTTGACCTCGCCGCCGCCGCCGCCGCGGCCGCGGCCGCCGCGCCCGCGCCGCCCGCGGCTTGTGCCCAGCCTGACCGCGCTCGGCATGCGCTCGTAGATAGTGTCCTTGAAGGCGGAGTGGAGGAGCGCCTCGAAGTTGACGCACGGCGCGTAGCGGCAGCGAGCGGCGGTCTTGCACGGGAGGGCGGTCTGGTTGAAGGCCGGGCAGAAGCCGATCCCGTCGCGCGCCGCCATCGCCTTGGCCTTGCCCGCCGCGCGCGCGACCTCGACCTTGTTGTCGACGATGAGGCTCTCGAAGGTCTTCTTCTTGGCGACGTTCGCCGCTGCGGCGCGCCTCTCCTTGAGCGCCTGCGCGGCGCACTGCGCGTCGTGGATGATGTCGGCGTTGGTCAACCCAAATGCGCGGCAGGAGGGGCAGAGTTTGTTGCCGAGGACCTTGACGCACCCGACGTCGAGGCGGAGGGGTCCGCCGACATCGCCGCTCGCGTAGACGTTGGGCAGGACCGGGAGGTTGCAGACGAGGTTCTCGTTCTTCACCTTGAAGAGGATCGAGCCGTCCTTCTCGTCCGACTTCGTGCCCAGGAAGGAGTGGTATCCCTCCTGGATGGAGACCAGGCTGTGAGAGAGAGTTGTTTTGTTTAAAGGCCCACTCCCCGCCCTTTCTCAGAGCTGTGTTTGCGCTCGCTGTGCGCTCTCCCGTTGCTTCATGTTGCTGGCTACTCTGGAGTCCTCCTGGCTGCTCTCCGCCCACCAGCCGGCCACAGGCCGTCAGTCTCACCGGCCGGCGTCGAGAGAACGGCCAGACTCGACCGACCGGGTGTCGCGCCGCTGCCTGCTTCTCGCGCCGCTGTAGCAGCGCCAGCGGCTCGGCCGCGCATCCTTCACACACGCCGCCACGACCAAGCTGAGCGGGCCCAGTGTCGAGGTCTGGTGCGAGCTGCATGTGAGGGGCGGCTTTGGCCACAGCAGGTCCACCAGACGGATCTCAAAGCTTGCCGTCGGCGTGCTGTCGTGGCGAGAGCCGAGACCGCTGCAGAGGAGCCGAGTGCAGTGACGATCCAGAGGCTACCAGGGCCACCAAGTGGTAGCCCTTGTCAATTATGAGCAGGGCTGTGCTTTGATGGGGTTGTGCTTGAGCGTGTGTGAAG